CCCCATATTGCATCTCAAATCCCTCAGTCCCCCCCCCCCTCTCTCACATACACAGTCAGAAATCACAGCCTTACAGCCAGCACCCCCACACAAGTGAAAATGAATGCAGTCACCACCTGTGGTGGGAGCAGAACAAGAGAGTGGGAAAGGACGTGGGAGAGGAGGAAAGAGAAGGAAAAGACATGGCAACTGTTCAGGGCAATGAGTCAGTAAAAGAGGATTCACAGACACACTGACATTTATAGTATATATCATGAGTAATCTTATGGAAACCTGTGCTTGACAAACATGACAGAAAAAGCCAAAAGTTGCATAATATGCTAGTCGTTATTAGCATGACGTTCATTTGTGAGACATCTTATCTTCACATCCGGTTTCACAATCATCGCTGATTTCACCAGCACGAATTCCCAAAGTAGTTTGTCTTTTTCTCAGGTGTGTGTGGGAGTGTGTGAACTGTGAGTGTGACTGAATGTGTCTCTGTTGGTTCTGTGATTCAAGTGAAGCAACTGAGTAGTCACTGGGTATGTCTGTGTGTCTGTGTGGTTTGCTGAGCCACACAGATCCTGAGGTAGGTGTGTGTGTGTGTGTGTGGTGTTGTGCTGTGTGTGTTGATGGTGTGTGTGTGTGTCTCATCCCTCCCACCATTACTCCTGTCAGCAGGCCTGAAACCACAAACCATCCCGTCTGGAAACAAAGCCATTAACTCACAACAACCGTCTCTGTCTCCCTCACACCTCTTACTTCAGTTTAGATCTCTTTCTGTTACACTTCACTTCTTTCATATCCGTGTGTGCACTGACAAATATATTAGAAGTCTGTTTGTCACAACCATAACATTTAACGGTTCCCATTACCAAAAATTACACCTACACTAACTACTAGATTTCTCTGTCAACAGTGGCATTTAGTCCCCGTTTGTTTTTTTTCATAACCGTTTTACAAGCACTGGCTGTTTATGAATTTATAGGCTGAACACCTACTAGTTCATGAAGGTGTTTAGACCGACATTCAGTCAGATATTTACACTGGTAGCCAGAGGCGACAAATAACACAGTAAAAATAGTTTCTGTACAGTTTTTCTTTACTTTACTTGTATTTATTTTTCAACAACTTTTTACTTTTACTCGCGACATTTTCAAATCAGGCTTGTTACTCCAGTTTTAATGCGTTTACAAGGGGATTTCTGCATCATTGCACGCCTTCCCAACATCAAGACTGGTGCATATCACACATAACAGACGTAATGTGACTGTAATGTGAAAATTAGATAAAAGACACAACAATATGAAACCAAGAAGAGAGAGACTTTAGTGGACAGAAACAACAAATGAGAAACCAAGAGAGTACTTTTTACTTTTATACTTTGTGTACATTTCACAGCTTTTACTGTCAAAGGCTTGAACTCTCTACAGTAAAGGGAAAAATATATTAATCAACCTTTATTTAGGTCTGACAAAGCAGTTACCTTTCTACTGTTCAAATGTAACAAATGCAAAAAGCTTAGTGTTAAAACGATTAAGAGAAACATAAAGAAGCAATCCAACCGCGTTCCACAATAAGGCATTATAACCTTTATGCATATTCATAAAAACATAACTTTAAGTTAATCCAGTCTTGAAAATTACATTTAAAGATCCTTTCAATATATTTTACTTCCGGTTTCTGCGTTACAGTCGTATTATCGCTGACGTCTTCTGCTGGGCGACATACTGAGGAGAAAATAGCTCAGTGCTGCTTCGATAACAGCAGACATAAGTTTCAGCAATCACTTCCTACTAAAATGTGTCCATTGTAAAACAAACCCACAGTAAGTCTGGTCTTTTTATTGTAATAAAAGCCAGTGGTCGGTCTGCAGTGAACATACCAGCAGGTTAGCTCGCTTGCAATTGTGCTAGCTTAGCTTTCATCAATCACGTGACTCTCACCTTGCAGGATGTCTGAATCCCTCGTTTTCTTACAACCCCCCAAGTTGGGAACCACTGGCCTACGAAATGTTTGTTTTGACTCATGAACGGATCTGAATTTGACAAAAGCTCAAGTGTTGATTCATCTTATCTGAACTTAACAGGCAAACACTAATATCTTTCATGCTGTGTGTTTTCCTTTTAATTAGAGATCAACATGGAATTCAGGAACACACCCAACAATATTTGGCCTCAGATGCTGCATTGTGAACGTCACACAGAAACCTGCCAGAGGACCGAATGAGAGCTTGGTCACACTGAGGTGAGTCAAACCTTATCATTCAGACAATTGCCAACCAAAGTCTTTTATAATCCTCAAATATTGGTTTACTTTATGAGTCCTGAACTTTTCTGAGATACAAGACAGATATGATGATGTTACAGGATGTGTGAAACATTTTATTTCAAATGAAGTTTGCTGTGATTTACAAAAACTCTTCTATTTCAGTTGTAGTGATACACAGGCATTAGATAAAAATCAAGCATTTCTCAGGGCAATAACCAGGATTTCACAAATGCCGACGTCAACAGTCTCTTTGTTGCAGCTCCTCAGAATAATGTGACCAGGTTTCTAAAATGCTTTAAACATTTTAGATTTTTCATGTCTAGTTTATTCAGTAAGTGTTTCCAGTCTGTAAATATTATAGTGTGAACATGAAGCCCCAGTTTATTTACTATGTTGTTGATACATTTGAATATATTGAGTATAAAAACTTATAAGCTGACAACAGTATTTTAAAAGTAGAAGCTCATAATTTGTTGTGTTTCTGGGGTTACTGGCAGACGACTTCTTGACCCGGGAGTAGTGACGTGATGAGAGTCCCGTTGTTGAATGACGCTGCCAGCAGAGCCAGGCGTCAGGCGAAGTTTCCCTTAAAGCAGCTACAAGGAACTTTCTTTTTGTGTTAATTCTGGCCGCCCCTGTGGACAAAAGTGGTAGTGTTTCGAGAATGACTACCGTAAAACTTCAATTAATATATATATATATAAAAATGTATTTGAGACAGGCCTTTAATTCCCTTTGCATAAAACTCTTACTTAGCAAAAATGTAAAATACTATCAAATTGTTATTTACACCAGTATATTACACGTATGTAAAATAGGCTATTGAATAACATATCAATTACAAACCATTCATTTGATACTTTGGTGCTCATTGTTTCTTTAAATGAACTTAACGATTGAATTGTGGAGAATCTAATCGATCTAACGATGTGTATCATGTTCACATTGACTAAACATTTATATCTGTGTAGCCGCAACTTAGAACTCACTCAAGAGCTTTTTCTATAAAGAATTTAAATACGTTTTCCGATATATAGAAATAGCCGATCTTCTCGCACATTTAAGTAATTTCCCCCTGGGATTATAAAAGTATTTCTGATTCTGATTAAAGGTCCAGTGTGTAACATTCAGGAGGATCTATAGGCAGAAATATAATATCCATAGGTCTGTTTTCATTCATGTATAATTAAACACCTGATTATAAGAAACGTTGCATTTGTTACGTTAGAATGAGTCTTTTATATCTACAGACGCTGCAGGTTGCCTTCCATTGAGTCCACCATATTTCTACAGTAGCCCAGAACAGACAAACAAAACACTGACTGTAAATATTTTTCACATTTCTCCCTCCCACTTGGAAGCAAGTGAGTTGTAATGCCACCGTTAGATGCACCTTAATCCTACATACGAGACCTTTTTACACTGCTAAACCCTCAAATATCCACTCGAAGAATACAGAGGACATGCTCCTTGGTGTACTAAACGGCAGCTTCAACCCTGATCTTACTACAAGTCAAACATTGAGGCTTCACACAACACACAGACCTTCAGAAGCCGCTGAAGAACATCAGAAGAACTTGTAGGTCAAACCTGATGAAACGTTGTCAGTAGGTCAATCAAAAGGAAATGGGCCATTCTACAAAAACTGTTTTATTGATTTATTAACAACTGTACATTTCTTTTCAGTGCTGACAGCATTTGCTACATACTTTGGTGTGATTCAGAGGGGCCGGTGCCCCTTTAATTTTCTCGTGGGAAATGCTGACAGGATCAGGAGCACAGTATACAAACCAGAATTATTCACCGTAGTCTTAACGTCAACATGAGAGAGACTCGAGTTACTCCTTGTATTTCTGTTACCGTCCTCACGAGCATTTACAAGTCTCTCTGCTTCTCCCCATCACAGCCAACCAAACGTAGTCCAGGATTATTGATAAGATACAAAGGGCAGAAGGAATCCAACAGCGCCGATTGGACTCTTTGAGTTTAGTCTGTCGCCAAGAAATCAATGGTGCAATTCAACATCCATATTACATCAAAAGTTAGCAAAAAAGCACGTTGTCACTCAGTTTGTGCTTGCTGCAGTGCTTCTGCTGCCAACTGAGGTCCAAGGGTTAGGCTAAACATTAAACGTTTCCTGTCTCCTGTAATCTAACAAGGAAAAACAAACAGGGAGAAAGATAGCACAGACAGATGTACACTTTAAAAAGGTCTTTTTTTATATATATATGAATTAAATTTACATCCATCTCTTTTCCTGAATCATAGCGTCCTGCTCGGTCCCAAAGTGGTCCAAACCAGCCGAGACTCTGCCCGAGTCAGTGGACTCCATGTTTTCATCGTCCGGTAAGAGCACTGTGACAAAAGGCCATTTTAAAATCTCCACAAAACGTCCTACTTACAAGTTTCATGCTCCTCTGTTTCTGAAAAGGGCAGCCTGGAGAATGTGCTTTAAGAAAATCAAAAGGTTAAAAAGTTCTAATCTAAGTTCTGCTCTCCCACTCAAATCATGGCATAAGACTAGAGTGGGCCGAAAAAAAAATCATCACAAGTACACCCAGGACATGAAAATATATATATTTTTATAATATATATAAAATGTCTTTTATTTAATCCGATATGTACACTTTTCACAAGACGTCTGGGGGAACAAGGTTCTCAGAAATGAAGCGCCGCTTCACCCAAGTATTCTCAAGAAAAAGCTGAAGAAAAAAAAAAACTCAGAAGTCACAAAAACAATGTGTAACCCAAAAATAAACCTCCAAAACAAAAAGGACAAAGAATGAACTTCTTTCCAGCACAAGCATCCTCAGGCTAACAGCTCCATCGAGTTTTCCAAATCTGTAGTTTGTCTCAGCCCGTTGTAGTCCACAGACGGATGGTCGGGGGAGGGGGGAATAAAAGTCTTCTCGTGAAGTGCCGAAGCAGAGCAGGACCCTCCTCTCGCTCTCTAGTAGATGACCTCATAGACGGTGGCCTTCTTGTCACCGGATCCTGTCACAATGTATTTGTCATCTGCCGAGATGTCACAGCTCAGGACGGAGGACGACTCCTTCGACTGCAGACGGGAGTAAGAATACAAAAGGCAACATTAAATCTTTCCTCTATGTTCCCAATATTTCTTATGAAATGTTTAAATATTAACCTCAAACAGAAACTGTCCTGTTTGCAGCTTTTTCTTTAATTGAGTATAATTACTGTTGAATTAGCTTGAATACTGTGGAATTATGTCTCAGCACATGCAGAACATAAAGAGTTCAAGTTCCAAGAAAAACCTGTGCGTCAAAGATCTCAACCTTCACCACTGGCTGAGGCTCTGAGGCTCTGATAGGTCGATTTCAGTTCATCATAAATATCCTGCACTTGTCTTGGTGGACATAGTTGCTTTCATTTATTTTATATCTGAAATAACCTTGTCTTGGTTATTCAAGACTTGGTTATGAAAACTGAATGTTCCTTTATACCTTTTTCTTTTAATTGTGTGTTTGTGTGTAGTTACCTGGAATATGCTGGCACCGTAAGGAGTCCTCCATGCATTCAGCAGATTGTCCTTCCCTGTGCTCACAAACCATTTACCTGCAAACACAGAACAGACGGGTAAGAATATAATCTTAAAGTACACACACACACACACGTTTGTCTTTTCTAGGCTGAGAATAGAGATTTAAACAACAACAGCTAATATGTGACTGTGTAATAATGTTATCAATGGCCATAATAAACCTTATTGAGGAAAATGCCGTTACATTAACAATCATAAAATGCACACAATGAAGGAGACTCGCACCATCTCCACTCTGATAATTATTTAAATTACCCTCTGATTAATTACCCAACTGACTAGTTGGCTAATGATTTAATTAGTGACAGCAAATGCTCTGGAGCAGTGAGCATCATTTGAATTAACCAGTTCTGTGGTGGCAGTGATATGAAACTGTGCTGTGGGGGGTCTTCTGAGGGGAAATTAATACTGACAGTTCTGGCAAAAAAAACGAGCGAGGCAAAAGTAAAACCTCATTTATCTGAGCCTTAAACTTGAGACCAGCTGGTCTGCCCAACAGGCAGAATGATCTAAACTGAAAAAGCAATGACAAATTCCTCTAATGAGCCCGTTTGTGAAATAAGAGCTTTCTTTTTAATACAGCTACAAGCCTTTGCTATGTACAAGTTAAACATTTCAACACAATTGAGTGCTCAAATTCTGAAAGAGCAAGAATAAACATCTACATGAACTGTAGATTAAACCTCATTGGTGCAGAGAAGTTGTCTCAAGATACAATTTTAGGCAGCGCAGTCCACCAGAACTGTAGCAGCTCTCATGTGTTTCCTCGCCGACAAGACAATCTTGAAGTGATTTACTCTCGTCTTGCCAAGATCGTTTTTTAGACAATGAACTGGAGAAATCCACGTTCACCACATTTAACAGCACAGCAGTAGCTACGATTTCAGGCCTCAAATATGACAGACAACCAACTCCACATTGTATTTATTTAATTAACTTTTCTCACGACATCGTGGTCTAAATGTTGTTTCAAAGCTTTCTCTACTCCATCAGATTTGTAATTCTGGTGGCCAACACTTAAGCCCTTTTTATTTATTTATTTATAATTTTTTTTTGTCTAAAAATATTCAGAACTTAGCCACTTAAATACCGCCGGAATATACAGTATAGATGGCGTAACTGTGAATTAATGTCCGAAAACACCATAAACTAGTACATTGAGCTTCCACTTACATCCCCCAAGGAATTACCAAGGATGTAACCTCCCAATGAACTATGGCATCAACACCATCATAACCATGCGAGTTGGAAGACTGTGCTAATTAATTTGGTTTCTCCACGAGATCTCGACCTCACAACTTATTCATCAACTGTGTCAAGTTTTTTTTTTTTCAGCCAGCTGACCCTCTAGCCAAAAAAACTCCTAATTTTCACTAAAAAAAAATATTCCCATCGGGTCTGGTTTGCCGTGCACACACTACAGCACACACACGACACACACACACACACACACACACACACACAACACACACTAGGAGCCTCTTTTCCTGTTACTTACCACAGTAGGCGAACTTGAGTGAGAGGACGCAGCTTTCGTGCAGATGCAGCTGGTACTTGTCAGGCTTGGTGTGGTGAAGCACCTCCACGTTGCTGCTCTCCATGCCCACAGCCAGCCACTCTCCAGTGGGACAGTAGCCCAGCGAGAAGATCTGCAACAAACACACAACAACACGTGTCAACAGTATCTCAACACTTAATAAAGCCTGACTTACAACCGAGGATCTAAAAAACACCGGAGTAAATTCTTCTGTCTCTACCTGTGAGGTAAAGTCGTGTTGCTGGAGCTGTCGTCCCTCCCTCAAATCCCAAGAGCGGACGGTGTTGTCGAGCCCTCCCGTCCACAGTTTGGTGCCGTCGTTGGAGATGTCGATGCAGCTCGCTCCGTCTGTGTGGCCCTGGAACTGCCTGGAACAACACAAGACGCCAAAACATGAAGTCAGAAACTTTAACAATCGCTATTTTATTCCTCAAACACAATGACTTGTTTATTACAGAACGCCTGAAGTACTGACCTAACGAGGGTCTGGTTATGAAGGTCCCACACAGCGATGTTTCCATCGGAGCAGCAGGAGAAGCAGACCTTGGCATCGGGGCTTATGGCCAGTGCGTAGCAGGCTGGAGCAGAGGAAGTGAGCTCGGCCTTTATGCGGGGCGTCTGCGAGGCCAGGTCCCAGATGGTCAGCGTGCTGGCCTCACCACCCACTATCAGGGTGCGGCCGTCAGGCAACAGCTTGCAGGAGCGGATGTAATTGTCCCTGTTCTGGAATAGAAAACAAGTACTGTCACGATTTTGATGAGTGGATGTAACAGGACAATTTGAGGTTAAGAAGGAACTCGATTACGATTCTGTCGAGCAAAAAGAGATCAGCTGCATACATCAGGGTATCAACGTCAAGACCATCTCTACTTAAACTCAAGAGGAGCTTTTTCTTTGACAAGTGAGGTTTTTAGACGGCTGCCGACTCCGTTTCATGTTATAGTGAAGATGTGGGTGTCAGCTTTAACAAGAGATGCAGGAGGAAGAGTGGGGCTGCAGCTGTTGGCCCGGCTCCAGGAGAGCAGGAAGACAGAGATCAATAGGACAGCGGAAACTCTTGGACGAATTAAAACAGCACCCTGATGGCTTTATAAGACCCAACTGCACTCTGGACGCACCTTAAGGCCATATGAGTTGAACGGCATGAAGCTGCAGTATCAAAATGAGAAATGGGAGGCAGTTGGGAGGAAGTAATGAGCTGGGTAATGGCAGACAAGGTTGGCCAATCAGAACATCATTACTCAGCAGACTTTTTTTTCCTTTTCCCCCTCACCGTGGATTATTTCAGCACAGCAGCGAGACACTTTGCTGAATTATTCACACGTCTGTCTGTTGGGATGTGGAGTCAGGCTACATTTGATGCTCAAGAAAATCTTAATGAAGGAGACCGATTGCGGAGACCTCAACATGAACACATAATGTCTCCGTTCTGGTTGGATGCCTTGTTACCACTTTGAAACATCTACAGTAATAATAAGATCTGAAATTCTTCTGCAGTGACAAAAACACAGGAACCAGTAGTTACCAGACAGTCGAGTTGGGACACTGGGCTCTTGCTGCCTGGTTGGCTGATGTCCCAGATCTTGACACAACCCTTGCCACCGGTGTAGACGTGACGTGTGGGGTTGCTGATGGTGACAGCGCACACCACTTCCCCGTGGCTCAGCGTGTTGATCTGGCGAGCGTGGCGTGGGATGCCCGGGCCTATCAGTGCATCTGGAGGGAAGGGCACGGGCTGCATCTGACCATCCGCACTAACGTGAAAAGAATAAGCTCTGCGGAGGACAGACGGAGGGAATCGATGGTCAGTCTGAGCCGAGATGTTACGCGCTGTTAATAATAAACCTCTGAATCAAAAAAAACTCCAGATACTCACGGTTTTCCTCCAGAAATGGACGTGAGGTTGGGTGGCAGACCCGGAGCTCTCATGTGAGAATGCTCGAACGCCGCCTGCGTGAGCAAGAAGAGCAAAGAGTTGAGAAACAACGCTGCAAAGATAAATTAGACTAAGCTAATATTCAAATTGAAAACTATGCTTCACTTTAACTGCTAACGCCCTGAGGAACTCTTGTACCGTCGTTTCCAGGCAAATCCTTTGAAAGGCGCAGATTCAGCTTCATTGCATACACAGAAGCTTTACACAAGGCTACAACACCCCACTTGCTAATGCTAATGAAAGCCTGGGAGATTTTCAAACACGGAGATGCATTTTGGGGGCAAGCCTTTCTTTTTTTAAAGCCTTTAGAATGCTAACTAACTAACTAACATCAAAGTAAAAGGAGCCAGCCCGTCTTTGTACTTTCTCATTATGTACACACAACAAGCTGCAGCCAGCCAAGCAGAAATATTCACAATGAGTTATGGAAATACAGGATGAATGCTTAAGTTTCTCAAAGTCATTTTGCTAGAAGACTTTACAACCTACAGCCGTGGAGGATAATTCATTCAGACGCTGCTGATGGAGGTGGAATAAATGAATTAATGTGTATATATATATATAAATAATATAATGTGAAGAAGAGGAGCTTCATTCGTTGGCATTCATAAATTCTATAAAGTTGGAATATTTACAATTGGTGAGCGTCCATAGGCGGCGGCAGCTGCAGCACTCATTTGTGGTGAGATGAGACCCGGATAGACGGCCGGGCTGGTCAGGGATCCGTTCATCTCGTGATGACCCATCATAGCAAACGGGCTGGCATAGGAGCCCGCGATGGACAGAGGTGTACGGAGGGCAGGGGCAGCTAGAGGAGAGAGAGTATTTTAATTGGTTTATAGAAACAATAAACTCTGGTTTAGTAAAACAAGTGAAGGGCTGCAATAAAGATTTAAAATTGTATTCAATTCCAGGACAGGTCAAAGGAATTAACTTACAGTCAGAATGATTTTATCAATAGTAAATCTGCAGACTTTTGTTGATGATTTTGTCATCTGGTTTTAATAAATACCCAAATTATTGTCATTAAATGGAAAAGAGAGGTTTATGTTGGATCCTCTGATACTTACAGTCACCTATAAAAGCTGCAGGTTCAGCAGAAACAGTATAAATCCAGTTTCTCATTTTCCCAAAAAAAAAAGCTTATTGTTGTTTATTTTTGTCAATGAATGAATAGTTTAAGTCCTTAAAGGAGTGTGACAGTGAAGGGGTTTACGTACCTAACGCCTCCATGCCAGGTGGTTTGCCCATTGTAAGAGGCCGCAGTCCTGGAGTGGTGCTGGTTCCTGGTGTCGGGGCCTCGTTCCTCGGTGTAGGTGTGTTGGACTTTAGGCTCGGTGTGGACGACTTGTCGTTCTAAAACAGAGATGCTATTTTTAACCTCCGGGTGAAACCTTATTTTGTATCCTCTTACTAAAAGTTGTAAGTTCACTTACTCTCAGACACACACAAGAAAAATTAAACAGCATCCAGAGTAAAAAAAAAAATCCCCCAGTGAGTCAAAAATCCCCCCACTGGCAGGGAAATCCAGAGTGACAATCTAAGTGGACGGCTCAAGGTAATCCAATCTAACACTGACACCTCATTACAGCCATGGTGTGTGTGTGTGTGTGTGTGTGTGTGTGTGTGTAAGGGGGGTAGAGGCATAAACCTTTGCTTAGAAGTCAAGCTTGTTAAGACTGGCTAGACGAGCAAGACGGTGAACCAAACACTCATAATTAATCCATCTTTCTTCCTTTGCCGATGGAGTTAGAGCAGTAGGGGGTTTAGCCTGGTGACACAAACTAATGAAGGACGGAGTGAAGCTGGGTGTCATGTGAGGTGGAGGCTAGTGATGTGGGCTATAAATCCATCCTAATCCATGTTCAATCCACTGGTTTATGTAAAACTGATGCATGACGATTGTTTTAGTCCTGGTTAGTTAGAGCTTCAGTATGGGAGAAATATGGGTGGGGGCAGGAGAGAGAGGAAAAAGAGGGAGACAGCAGTTCCCTCGCTGCCGTGTCTCCGGGTTATTTACAGCCTCGGGCCTGAGGAATGGCCATTTATTGGGTAAGCTATAAAGGAGATTGAGAGGAGTGAGCCACAGGGTTTGATTTCCTGAGAGTGCATCCACCCTCTGCCCCTTCAAGCCCCTCGTAGCAGCCGACTGCTAAGCCTCCTGCGTATTAGTCCTTCACACAGACACCCACTTCACTTGACAAATGCCCTTTAGTCCGCTCACCCTTCACCCCCTTCCACTGTAACTCCTTATTTCATCTTCTCTCTCTCTAGTCTTTTCGCGTGTCCCTCACACTCACATGGGCGTGGTCCTTTGCTTTGGAGGACGGCGTGCTGCCCGAGGAGGCGACAGAGGCGGGGCTGTTGGGGGCAGCATCCTTCTTCAGGACTCGTGATTTATCCAGGCCGTTTTCTGGAGGAGAGTGCGCCGGGCTGACTCGAGGGGTGGCTGGATCCTACATAGTTAAACGAAACAGACAGAGAGCGAGACTGAGCAAACAGACCGGAGGAAAGCCACTGGCATGTACATGTAGGTCAAACAAACTGGGGCCTCATGTGCAAACACAGATAAATACACTTGTGCGTGCTCGTACTCTCCCTCACTCACATACACACACTTTTCATTCACCTGTCACTCCCTTTTCTCTTTGTTTTCTTTGTCTTACTTTCTGCATGAATGGCAAAAGAAATACAGCAAGTAAGCTCTCACACACACACAACCACACACAACCAATATTATGACAGACTGTTTGGCAACGTCGTGAAAGGTGTTGAGGCTTCGACAGACAAAAGAGAGCTGTGTTTAGTTTCTGTGCAGCGTTTTTGTGGAATGTTGCCGAGCAGCCCGGTTCAAACGCAGTCTTACCTCATTGGAAACATCCACCACCAAGTCGTCACTTTTGTCTCCGTCACTGTCCTGAAAGGAAGGAGTGACAGGTTCAGCTTACTGGGAGGAGGAACGGTGGTAAAGTTACAGTGCAGTCCAATATTTGACTACTAGATCAAAGACCACACCAGAGTTATGGTCTGGATCAGTGGTCGTCAACCTGGGGGTCCAATTTCACTATTATTCATTATTCTATGATTTCATTTGCAATGGATGTATAAGAAGACTACAGTGTTCATAGG